ACAACAAGAATCTCCAGCACAGGCAGTGACACAACAAGAATCTCCAGCACAGAGAGTGACACAACAAGAATCTCCAGCACAGAGAGTGACACAACAAGAATCTCCAGCACAGAGAGTGACACAACAAGAATCTCCAGCACAGGCAGTGACACAACAAGAATCTCCAGCACAGAGAGTGACACAACAAGAATCTCCAGCACAGGCAGTGACACAACAATAATCTCCAGCACAGGCAGTGACACAACAAGAATCTCCAGCACAGGCAGTGACACAACAAGAATCTCCAGCACAGGCAGTGACACAACAAGAATCTCCAGCACAGGCAGTGACACAACAAGAATCTCCAGCACAGAGAGTGACACAACAAGAATCTCCAGCACAGGCAGTGACACAACAAGAATCTCCAGCACAGGCAGTGACACAACAAGAATCTCCAGCACAGCGAGTGACACAACAAGAATCTACAGCACAGGCAGTGACACAACAAGAATCTCCAGCACAGCGAGTGACACAACAAGAATCTCCAGCACAGGCAGTGACACAACAAGAATCTCCAGCACAGGCAGTGACACAACAAGAATCTCCAGCACAACGAGTGACACAACAAGAATCTCCAGCACAGAGAGTGACACAACAAGAATCTCCAGCACAGCGAGTGACACAACAAGAATCTCCAGCACAGAGAGTAACACAACAAGAATCTCCAGCACAACGAGTGACACAACAATAATCTCCAGCACAGAGAGTGACACAACAAGAATCTCCAGCACAGAGAGTGACACAACAAGAATCTCCAGCACAACGAGTGACACAGCAATAATCTCCAGCACAGGCAGTGACACAACAAGAATCTCCAGCACAACGAGTGACACAACAAGAATCTCCAGCACAGGCAGTGACACAACAAGAATCTCCAGCACAGGCAGTGACACAACAAGAATCTCCAGCACAGAGAGTGACACAACAAGAATCTCCAGCACAGGCAGTGACACAACAAGAATCTCCAGCACAGCAAGTGACACAACAAGAATCTCCAGCACAGGCAGTGACACAACAAGAATCTCCAGCACAGAGAGTGACACAACAAGAATCTCCAGCACAGGCAGTGACACAACAAGAATCTCCAGCACAGCGAGTGACACAACAAGAATCTCCAGCACAACGAGTGACACAACAAGAATCTCCAGCACAGAGAGTGACACAACAAGAATCTCCAGCACAGAGAGTGACACAACAAGAATCTCCAGCACAGCGAGTGACACAACAAGAATCTCCAGCACAGAGAGTGACACAACAAGAATCTCCAGCACAACGAGTGACACAACAAGAATCTCCAGCACAGAGAGTGACACAACAAGAATCTCCAGCACAGGCAGTGACACAACAAGAATCTCCAGCACAACGAGTGACACAACAAGAATCTCCAGCACAGAGAGTGACACAACAAGAATCTCCAGCACAGCGAGTGACACAACAAGAATCTCCAGCACAGAGAGTGACACAACAAGAATCTCCAGCACAACGAGTGACACAACAAGAATCTCCAGCACAGAGAGTGACACAACAAGAATCTCCAGCACAGAGAGTGACACAACAAGAATCTCCAGCACAACGAGTGACACAACAATAATCTCCAGCACAGGCAGTGACACAACAAGAATCTCCAGCACAACGAGTGACACAACAAGAATCTCCAGCACAGAGAGTGACACAACAAGAATCTCCAGCACAGAGAGTGACACAACAAGAATCTCCAGCACAGGAAGTGAGACAACAAGAATCTCCAGCACAGGCAGTGACACAACAAGAATCTCCAGCACAGGCAGTGACACAACAAGAATCTCCAGCACAGCGAGTGACACAACAAGAATCTCCAGCACAGGAAGTGACACAACAAGAATCTCCAGCACAGGCAGTGACACAACAAGAATCTCCAGCACAGCGAGTGACACAACAAGAATCTCCAGCACAGGCAGTGACACAACAAGAATCTCCAGCACAGCGAGTGACACAACAAGAATCTCCAGCACAGGCAGTGACACAACAAGAATCTCCAGCACAGGCAGTGACACAACAAGAATCTCCAGCACAGGCAGTGACACAACAAGAATCTCCAGCACAGAGAGTGACACAACAAGAATCTCCAGCACAGCGAGTGACACAACAAGAATCTCCAGCACAGAGAGTGACACAACAATAATCTCCAGCACAGAGCGTGACACAACAAGAATCTCCAGCACAGGCAGTGACACAACAAGAATCTCCAGCACAGCGAGTGACACAACAAGAATCTCCAGCACAGGCAGTGACACAACAAGAATCTCCAGCACAGCGAGTGACACAACAAGAATCTCCAGCACAGGCAGTGACACAACAAGAATCTCCAGCACAGAGAGTGACACAACAAGAATCTCCAGCACAGCGAGTGACACAACAACGGACACGGTGCGCAACAACACACGGAACAACCCCAGAAAAAGCACATCGGAGAACCGCAGGCAGAACCGCAAAAAAAAACCTTACACGGTGGCAAAGCAACTGCGTGTGCTGCACAGGGCTACGTTTTCAAAAGGACGCATTTTCAAACAAACCTCACAAAGCCGCCGCGCTATCCATCACGGCGATATTGCAGTGGGTACCGCGGCTGGCTCTGCCCTGGTGGATCGAGAGTCGCTTATTTGGCCGTGGTTTTTTTGCAGCACGGCGAGCGGCATGCCTGGCCGTACAAAAAAAAAGGCTGTAAATTTGAGCGAGCGAGCGTGGCAAGGTGGGGAGGAAGAGGACGCGGTTATAGTTGTCAAGATGCAAGGTGGGAAATGGCGACCGACCGGAGCGCTGAGGCGCGGCCGCGAGAGACGCAGAAGAAACCGAGTGAACGTGCAACGTTGGGGACATTGTCACAGTGGCGAGATGTGAACTACCTCGCCTGGTATACAGGAGATCGTGCGATCAATCCAGACGCTGACGCTTGTATATTTGGAGTTTGCGTGTTCTCTCCGTGGTCGGGCAGATTTTTCTCCAGGTCCTCCAGTTTTTCCCTCCACATTTAGAATCAACATCACGCATTTCGGGTATTGGCTGCTCTTAATTTCCATGTGATAAACCACTTCGTTGAGCTATCATTTGTGGCCAGGTCGCTTTGGCAAAAAGCTACATAGCTCAGTGGGGCCTAGCCTGGTAAAATATAAAATAGTTTTTGATAATCGACGTTGGACCCAACGTTGCAGGCTTACTGCACGAGGAGTGATTTAGCGACCGGAGAAACCATTTTAATCTTTAAAAGAGGGCATTGATGCAACGATGCCAACCTTTCATCTTTTCTCTGAATATAAAAACTGCTGACATTACTCGATGTACTAAGTGAAAATACCCACACGACCGTCATCATTAACGCTGCCTTAAAATAAAAATGCCACCCATTCTCAAATCCACCAAAGGATGAAGGTCCACCCCATAACATAACAGTACAATACTCCAGGCAGAAGTTCCTCGATTATAGACAGCTCTGAAGAACCCCTATAGTGGGTATTTGGACTATTTCACACGGGCCAGATGTCTTTGAAGATGCGGGGGTATCCACACTATACTCCAACACGCACGACCTGCCCTTCGAATGCAATGTACCCATTGTACATTGAACCCCTTTCGCACCATGCGTAGCCAACCATGCTAATCGGGAGATTTAATAAACTTGCTCATTGTTTCAACCGCCCCACCAGGAGATCGAACCGTTGAACTCTGTAGCACCTTTAGCAATTCAAACACTTTTTCTGTCGCCGTACAGCTCAGCTCACGAATAAACAAGAAAATGCAACTACGGTTGTACTATTAGGCTAAGCGATGTGCTTTCATGTTGCCCTGCGCGTTGTTCCGAAAGGATGATTAACCGGCGACATCTGGCTTTAAAGTCCAGCGCGCTAACCATTACACCCACTTGCAGAGTCAGGGAACATCTGTAATGCGTCGCCAAGGCAGCACGCCTCGGGACTAATGCATCGCATGCGCAGAATCCCCGCTATTGAACAAACATTTGTTTCATTGCCCGGAAGGGGGACTGGATCAAAACATTCAGCGAACATTCAGCGAGAACGGTGAAACCTCGCGAGTGCGAGAAGACTTTCCTAGTTTAGCGGCCGTTCGCAGGTCGCACGGCGGGCTCAATTAAAAAGCCACAGCATCGTGTTAAACGAGTCGTGGCGGTCTATACGGAGAGCTCCCGCTTAGCCTCGGCCAACAGCGGTAATGTAAGGAGGCATGGGGAAGTCATAAATCGTTCCATTAAGAGCGCCGGCCAGCCGGCTGGCAGAACCAACTTGGGCAAAACGGAACGCTCCTTCAGCCGCGCTTCACGGCGCGCGGCTTAAATGGAGAGGTGGCTATGGGGTTACACGAACAGCGATTTGGCCATTTTACACATCATTATGCTCGCGTTGCAGATTTTTTACGGAAACGTTTGTGTAAGAATTCACGACAGTCTTAATCTACCGTGGTGGGACTCAACCTTTTTAGGCATTTAATTTGAATCCCTACACCTGGGAATGCTGCTGTAATAGTCATGTTGGATAGATCACAGCATGGATATCTCATCTATAAGATAAGAGCTGCTTATTTTGGATTGAATCTTGGCTTAAAGGCCCATGCGTTTTCACAAGCTGGCTATGCCAAAATGAAGTACGGACTGTATTCAGCATCCTTAAGTATGAGTCCAAATGCCCAAGAGTGAAAGAGCCAAAACTTGCACAACCACTTGAGAATTCTGTTTGCAGTGTGAGACATGCCTCACATAGGTCTGCATTTGTTTGATCCCCGCAGTCTCTATGGGCAGAGAGCTTTCACCACCTAAGCAAGGAGACCTACCACAGCAATTCATGCGGGCGACACTGCTGTAAAGTAACGGTTGGCAAACCGTACTTAAAATTCAGCAGTTGCCAGTTCAATCCGATCTCCCAGCACGGCAAAAGTGACATCTGAATTTAAGAACCGAGTTAAGATACTCTTACCGGCCTTGTTGTGCGCTGGCGACAAGCCATCGCCGATCTCCCTCGCTCCGTCCGTCGCTACTCCCTCCCTGAAGTCCGCCGCGGCCACGAACCGGAATCCGTGGCCTTCGGGAGGAGCACTACACCACAGGGCGCTCGCAAACAGGTTCCGGTGCCTCTGCGCCGTAGCCGACACCGCCGCTCCCCCTCGCGTCTCTCCGTGTCTCTGCGTCGTTGATTCGGACATCTTGGCTGCGGCGGCGGAAAAGCGTCCGGTGTCCCGGGGCCTCCGCGGTCCATTTGACGTGACCTCGGCCTGCCGGTGCTGCAGCTCATCGCGGTACGAGAGGCCCTCCTTGTCGGAGCAGGACCCAGCCCGCCCGCCGTCCACGCACGAGCAACCATCCGAGTCGTCGCTATCCGCGGCGGCGGCGGCAGCGGCAATGGAGCGCGCGTGCCGCAAGTCTTCAGCCTTGCCCCGGGCCTTGCTGCGCGCGGTGGCCGCCGTCATTGTCCAGGCTGGGGCGCCGATGGGTGAGGGCGGGGACCCCAGTGAGCAGCGGGCCCTGGCGATGGCCGACGGTCGGACGTCGGCAGCGCCACCGCCCCCCGCCTCCGCGCGTCCGCTCGTGTAGCACATGGGCAGGTGCAGCATGGACCAGGCCTGGTAGGACTGCAGTGGGTACTGGCTGTAGTAGCAGCAGTTCAGGGTGCTCGCCGGGAGGAAGGAGGGCACGTAGTGCATTCCGTACGCGGCGTAGTAGCTGCTGTCCAGGAGGTAACCGGCCGTGCTGGGCAGGTAGGCCGCAGCGGCTTGTCTGTCCGCGAAGCTGGAAACCCTTCTGCGGGTGGTCCCTTTGGCCTTCACAATGTCCGCGTCCTGTACACCGTGCAGGGCCCTGCACTCAAAGGGCAGCCGACTGCATTCGCTGCTGAAGTTCACTCGGAAAATGCTGGGCAGCAGCTCCCCGGACTGGCATCGCAGCTTCTTCTGGTCGATGCAGCACTCCTCCAGCATCGCGATCACCTCGTCCATGTCCGTGACAAATCCCGCGCTCCGATCTCCTCCGCCACCGCAGCTCTTCTTCGCGTACGCCAGCCGCTGCTGCTTCTTACGCAGCCTCTGCTTCTCACGCGGCCCCTCCAGGGCACGGTCGTCGCAGCGCAAGCGCCGCACACGCACCGGCGACGCCGCCGAACTCCCGAAGGACGGCCTCCTGCCGTAGCGCAGCGCGCAGCTGTCCGCCCGCTCCGAGCCGCTCAGGTTGTCGACGACGATTCCACTGTCGCTGGGGCTGGGGGCCCCGTCGCTGTGCGCCTCCGCTGAAGAGAGGAATGCCGCGCCACCGCACTGCGGAAGCAGCGGCGGCGTGGAGCGGGCATTGGAACCCGCAGGTCCCGAAGGGCAGGCGCCCTGTTTCAGCATCGCTTTGGTGGCGATCGGCCGCCTCTGTGCCAGTGAGAACTGAGAGCAGAGCGGCATCGTGGGGTCGGAAGGCCCCAGCGGACGATGGGGAGAGACGTCGCACGCGGGGATGGAGTCGCACGTGGACGAGGAGCGCCCATCCACCTTGGGCTTCCTGCCACGCTTCTTGCCGATGTAGATGGTGCCCCTCTTGCTCACGTTGATTTGGAAACCCTGGTCGTCCGACCCGTCGGCTGTCGACGCGGTGCTCGCCTTACGGTGCAGACTGTCGCGGCCCCGGCACTTGCGCACCACCGTTGAGCTGCTCAAAATTTGATTGAGTATCTTCTTCCTTTTCAGCATTTTCATTTTCTTGACGTTTGCCGCAGCGCTCTCGCACGCTTTTAGTTTGTCGATGTGTTTTCCCTGCCCGACGTCGCCCATTAAAGTGAATCCCTTCCTCTGAACATTCACATCTTGGCAGATCATTCGACAAGGGTCTAGGCCCAGCTTTTGTCTGCTCCGCTGGTCGCCTTTCCTCCATTTCAAATTGGCGTCCATTTTAACTGGAAGTCCAGCGTGAGCTTTTAAATGGAGCAGTTTTCTGGGCCGACCAGGGCCCCTCTTTAAAGGCACTCGAACCGTCAGTCCCAAAGCGGTGGTGTGCAGTGGGCTACTGAGAACCGAGGGGTTACACGAGCCGAGCGTCACATGCCTCTCCGACGCGCTCTTCATTTGCGACACATACCTGAGCTGCACGCTTCTCTCTCCCAGGGCCCTGTGCTCCACCGGCTCCACGTGCATCTTAGTCGGACGCCCGCGCCTCGTCTTCTCAAATGCATCGTTTCCCATGACGTACGACTCCTTCAGCAGACACTTCACTTTCCTGTTACTGAAGTACGCCCTGCCCAGGCCGCTCTTCCTGCACGGGTCGCTCACTTTTGTCCGGCACGGCGACCGCGTCTCCGACCTCCTGCGCTTCTTCTTGGCACCGGCCCCCGAGGTCCTGGGCAGCCGCTCCGAACGTCCGCTGCGTTCCCGCCGCGGCAGCGAGCGCTTGGCGGCACGGCCGAGCCTCCCTCCGTCACCTTCACCGCTGCCGCCGCATCCGCCGCCGCCTATGGGCGTGAGCACAGGTGGCTCCGACCAAGAGTTATCGTCAGGACCACCGCTTTCGTCGTCACCGCCGCCGCCGCCGCACGCCTCGCTCTCGATCGCGGTCAGCTTGGGTGGGCGGCCCTTCTTCTTGGCAGAGCGCAGGGCGCTGCCTTCTTCATCGAAGCAGCCATCGCCATCCTGCTGTGTCCTGGAGGCCAGCGGCTGCACGTCCGCCAAACAGCAGCCGCCGCCCCAAGATGGCGACGAGCCGATGGCGGGGCTGTCCGTGCCGGGAAGCGAACCGGTCTCTCGGGACGAAGGCATCGCCTCGATGGCCGGTAATGCCGGGCACGGGTCCTGTGGTGGCGGCAGCGGCAGGACCGACGCAAACTCCCTCCGCGATCCGGCAACCTTGAGGAGGCCGGCCCGGTGCTTCTGCGGGGATCCTTTCCTCGACGTGCGCTTGCCGCAGGGCGCGCCGCCATGCTTGCTCCGAGACGGCGCCTCGAAGGTAGCGTCTCTCGCCTCGCGGGCGCTGCCCGGCTCCAAGTACACGAGGCTGTTGGGCGTCTCGCCGGCACCGCAGTTTTTGACGCGCAGGACAGACGAGGGCGAAGCGTCCCTCGGGTCGGAGCCACCGGCGGCTTCGCGCGACGGCCTGCCCTCCTCCTGCCTCCTGCTGCGATCGCCGTGCTCGCATTCGCACCTGGTGCCCAAGCCGGCTCTCATCTGCTTCGCGGGCCCTTCGGCCCTCGGCTTTACGTGCGGCACGGCGGCCTCGGCGCACTCCTCGTCGGCGCACTCGGACATCATGTGCATGTACGCGCGCCCGTGGAATGCGCCGCCGCCGCCGGTGCCGTTGCTGCCGCCGCCGCCACCACCGCCGCCTCCTCCTCCGCCACCGTTGGTGGCATCCGCGACGGCGCCCAATTCGGCGGCACGCAGGGCAGCCTCGCGGCGGAACCCACCGAGGCTCATATCGAGCGCGGCCTCCGTCTCTTCGCACGCAGGAAAATCCATCGCGTCTGCCAGTTCTCGCTTTCTAGAATAACAACTACTACTATTGTTGTTGTTTTTGGGAGGAGGGAGAGGGAGGGGGGGTAATGTATATTTTTTTCACTTTTGTAATTTCCCAATTTGACGGCGATTAGTGAAGGGCAGCCACAGAAACTTCAGCGACGGGCTTGCGGTTGCAAGCGCATTTCTTGGGCGAACGTGCCTGTCGGGAACCATGTTCGTGTGCTCCTAACGGCGGACGGTCGCAGGGGCGGCGAGTCAAAGAGTTTTTACTCGGGGTTCAAGCTGCGCAGCGACGGGCGTTTGCTGCTGGCGCGGCCATCTGCGTCGCTGCAGGGCATCGCCCCCGCGTATGAAGAGAAAGACGAGTCGGACGGTCCTGTGGAAGGAGACGGGAGGGAGTTTCAGTTTGGGAAGGCAAAGCGCTGCTCTCGGCGGCACGCAAAAAAGCATCTCGAAACCGTCGCGCATCCCCGACAATTGCACCCTCCGTTCTCATTTGCGTTTGCAATAAATAAACGAAAAATGTCATTACACACAAACTACAAAATCAGCTGCCAGCTGTCATACAGTAATTATCCGAAGTCATAAAACACAAGAGATAATTCCGTGTTAATAAAAGTTAACTTCCAAGGCATTAAAATACACTTATAGGAGCCGGGATATTGTTTATAAGTACACAGTAAATCAACATATGCTGCTATTAGTGAAACACAGCACTCACTATTGCTGCTGACCTTGACAACCTTGATAATACCCTCACAAAAACATTTGGCGCAGATGGTCAAGTAGTCGGCACGCTCACCAACAGGCAAAGACGCAGCCACGAAAGTAGCTGGCTCACGTCACCGCTGGCCAAAGGGCCTTCGCTGGAGGCAGCTCTAGAAAGCCCCCACCCCCCTCGAGAGAGAGTATTTGGCCTACTTTTCCATGCTGACCAGGCGTCTTGGAAGTGCCCACACGTAGTAGACGTGACCTGCTGATTGGCTGGCTGTAGTGTATCCATTCATACTGCTGGGTAGACGGTAGCCGGGGGGAGAAATTTAAGAAACTTGCTCTATTGTTTCAATTGCCATGCCGGGAGATGGAACCGGCAAACCCGTCACACAATCCCTTTAATAAATTGACCACAAATGATAAGTCAATCACGTGGCTTATCGTGTGGAAATTTATAGCGGCCAAATACTCTAAGTGGAGGGGAAAACCCTGAGAAAAATCCACGCGACCACGGGGAGAACATGCCAACTCCAAATATACAGGCGTCAGGGTCGGGATATATATCCCACGACCTCCTATATACCAGTAGAGGTAGTTAACATCTCGCCACCGCCGGTGCCCCATCACCCCGTGGACAATGTGAGCTGCGATTGCGGTGGGGTTTATCATCCCCGTCATCGCAGAACTCAACTACAAACATCATTCAGTGTTGATGTTGGCAGAGAGCATAGCCAAGATCAATATGAACAGCTGTGGATGTCTTCTGATTAAAAATGCCACGCGGACACGCATCAGCGAGCATAATTCTATCGGGGCCCCACCAATGCATTATCAACGTCATAGTGGAATGGTTTTGGTTAAAACGGCTGTATTTAATCAAAACATGTTTAACTCTTCTGTAGCTTTAATGCATCAGAAATCCGAGACGTTTGTGGATACCGTAATACCATTTGTGGATAATCCATAGTGTCAAGTGTTGGAAACACGAGTCTGTGGAATGTCACTTGTTTTGAATGTCATACGAAATACAATTTCTCATGACTTATTCAGTAAAAAATATATATACACACAACCCCCCTCCCAAAACAAAGCGTACATTTTCTCAATACTCATTATTAGAAGGGTACGAAAATGGATGTGATCCTGCCACGGTGTAACAGTGAGCACAGTGGACTTGCAACCCAGAGGTCGCCGCTTCGATCTCCTAGCGAGTCTTAAATGCGCCCCCCCCCCAATCCCACTTGCCAATGTTCCCCCAGCAGTGTGAATGAATACACCGCAGTAGTAATAGGTTTTTACCCTTTCAACTGGTACAAAAACTGACACCTTTATACAAGGCATCATGTTTGCAATAACCACAACACAAGCAGTCAAAATACAAACAAAAAGAAACAACTCTGATGATGATAATGATATGCAGGACAGTGCATATAATTATCATCATCAGAGTTGTTTGATATGCAGGACAGTGCATATCATTATCATCATCAGAGTTGTTTCTTTTTGTTTGCATTTTGACTGCTTGTGTTGTGGTTATTGCAAACATGATGCCTTGTATAAAGGTGTCAGTTTTTTGTACCAGTTGAAAGGGTAAAAACCCATTACTATATTTTGCCACTGGTAAAGGAGGTGTCTCATAGTGTGAATGATTACACCGCAGTTCGTGCATCTGCAAGTCGCACGTCGTGGGGTAAAGTTTGGGCACTCTCACCGATTCCAATGTCTGGCCAAAGTGGAAAAGTAGGCCAAATACACTCTAGAGGAGGGAGTCCTTCCAGCGGGCTGCACGTTTACGTACGTATGTTGAACTTCTTGACAAACTAAACACATAGAGCAGTTCTAAAGAAGTGAGTCATAAATTTACCTAATATGGAGGGTCTGGCTGTCATCCCTGTTTGGTTGTGCTTGAGCGGAGATTGGAGTTCCCAGGAAAAATCCACACAAATAGAAATAATGCAAATGTTGCTGTAAAAATAACACGGCAAAAACCTACTTGCTGTGCTGGCTTCGCATTGCTTAGCAGCTGGGTGTCTTGAACCGGGTTTAACCCATAATCTTTAGTTCTTTCGGTAAAGTCACGTAGGTATAAAATAAAATAGATCACGACGTTTCGGGCACAACATAAGCGTCCGTCATCAGGTGGGAAAGCATGGTCTGCTGCAGAGGCAGACTGTTTTAAAAAGTTTGAAATGGCTGTAGCCCAAATATTTTTAAAAGTTTGGGCTACAGCCATTTCAAACTTTTTAAAACAGTTTGCCTCAGCAGCAGACCATAATTTCCCACCTGATGACGGACGCTTGTGTTGCGCCCGAAACGTCGTGATTTATTTTATTTTCTACCTACGTGACTTTACCGAAAGAACCAAAGAGTATGGATTCCTGCAGTCACGAAAGTTTCAAATCAAGGGTTTAACCCATATTAGGAATTATCATCAGAAGTTAGCCCCAAGTGCCTAATAACACGGCTACTGTGGAACAAATCCCTACTACAGGATCGCTTACAATAAGAATAACACTTAATCAGTAAACCGTACAATCATTCCACCAAATAGTAATTTCCTATTGCAAAACCATTAGACCTACATTACGCTACTGCCAGAGTAAAAGACAGACTCAACCTTATTTATTTACATTTCTAAATGCTGATCCACAATTACGTGTAATTTAAACTAACCAATACCAATTATTTAACCAGAGGAGGGGACGGGGAGGGGGACTTCAATGGTCTATTTTTCACGAACGGTCCTGCATTGCAATGATTGACCATTGCCATACCGGCCTAAGACTTCTCAACTCATAAACACTTTGAGTAAGTGCTTTTTAAATCACAGGCGGCCACCCATGCTGGAACACAGAATCTCAGCGACCTCTGAACCATTCTAGATTTGAAGCTTTCGTGACTGCAAGGATTCATACTCTTAGGTTTTTCAGTAACGTCACATAGGTAAAAAAGAATAATAATCAAATAACATAAATGAAAATAACTCAATTAAATCACGACGTTTCGGAGGCAGCACAAGAAGACGGAGACTTGTGTTGCCTCCGAAACGTCGTGATTTAATTTAGTTATTTTCATTTATTATTATTTTATTTTTTACCTACGTGACTTTACCGAAAAACCTAAGAGTATGACCTCTGAACCAGCCAGCCAGCCACCTACGCATTGCCATATTGCGGTGTGGTATACAGCCACTCGATTGTCAGTTTATAACACATGACAGCGCAGTATTACACTATTACAGTGCCTGTAGATAATTTACGATTGCAATTACATTGGCCTGCACCTACAATCAAAGTATATTGGTCTCTTATGGTTGTGATGCCACCATATCACCGATGCCAACTAAAACTGCTTCCCCGGCCATACAAAGAAGAAAGATTGCTCTCTTATAACCCCCATATACAACTCTGCACTGCCCGATGAGAAACACACAACTAGGGAAAGGCTCGAAGCTTTCGAAATGTGGCTGTATCGAAGGATGCTGAAAATCCCATGGACAGCCAAAACCACCAATACACAAGTTCTGCAAGATATGGGCACTGACAGGCAACTGCTGAAGACCATCATTAGCAGGAAGTGTTACTACCTAGGCCACATTGCCCGAAACGACCACAAATACCAGCTATTAAAGCAAATCCTGTAAGGAAAAATCGAAGGAAAAAAACGACCAGGACGGCCAAAAACGACATGGCTCAGTAACATCAAAACATGGCTACAATTAACAACAGCACAAACTCTACACGCCGTGCTAGACCGGGACCAATATCATCGTGAAGTCGCACATGCCGTTAGGCAGCACTAAAGAAGAAGAAGAGGGAATGGCACTGGCCAATTTACCACCATAATAATAATCACATTCACGGCTACTGCACGTAATCATCTACTGGGGTCAAGAGTGGCTGGCTCGCAGGTTCACAGTCAAGTTAAGGGTCAACAAGACACGTCGTCCGTAAAAAAGTGCCACTTTCTGTGGAGTCAACAGTGTCCGTCCGATGCGTACACCTGCCACAAAAATGTGGCATTCCACCATGGACTCGAGGATGTAAACGGGCAATGAGCATGGCTCCACGCTCGTATGAGTAGCCAATCACTTTGGTTTTTAACAGAATGCGCTAATTGCAGTGCTCCGTCCTCATTGAACAACTACTCTGGGTTACACCATGGACTCTCTTCCATCAAAACTTAAATAAGAAATACATTATCCCAAGGTGGCCACAGTGGGTCAAAGGTCAGCTGGCACCACCGAGATCCTGGTTCTAATTTTGACAGTTACCCGTGATTTTAATGGGGCTCTCAAGCGAATAGAGTTTGAGATAGTGATATATTTTAACAATAAAATAATAAAGATAAAACATATTAAAAGAATTCTCACGACGCAAGCAGCCGTCCTCAGGTGAAGAACAGGTCTGTCGGAAAGACTATTATTTATTATTTTATTATTTCCCTTCTACGTGACTTTACCGAAAGAACCAAGAAGATGAATCCCTGCAGTCACGAAAGCTTTAAATCTAAATATTTTAACAACGTAAAGATTCGAAACTTTACCCCGAGTGCAAAACCTATAAACGCATACACGATACATGGAACTGTGACGAAATTTAAAATGCAAACGTACGCTATAGCGCAGTCAAGCGAAAGTACAGCAGAATATTGCACACTGTA